TGTTGTTGTAGTCTTTCCTATTTGCTTTCCCTAAAATATTCTTTTGCTTGGAAATTATAATCTAAGGATATATAGTTCTCAATATAATTTGTGTGTGTGTGTTTGTGTAGGTTTCATGTTTATCGATAATTCTATGATAATAACTTGATCATCTAAAATCGTTTGAGGTGATTTAAGGAATGGAAATCGGGTTTTTGCCCAAATGCTATGAGGCCTCACTATACCATTGAATTTCACTTAGCCTTGTCTTTTAAACGTCTCACTTATGTAGGCCAACTGCTGTTTAGACTTTGCTTAAGTCTTATCAGCACCCCTTACGGGATTCAATAATTCGACCCTGGTTCCTATTCGAGAATTACATATACTTTCGAAACGTACTCATATCGAAAATAAATCATGTCGTCTATTTTAATGGCAAATACATTTTCTGGACGCAAGAATAAGTGGAATTCAATGGCCTCGTGAGGACTACTCATTTAACTGCGGAAAACTCTAATATTACTTATTAAATCATCGTTACCGACCTAGGCTGGCGATTCTTTTATTATTTTAAAGTGCATATTGTTAAGGGCCGAACTCATCTAAATTTTTTGCCATGATTAATGATCTGATTTTCTGATCCTTTCTTCCGTCTTTTGTTAAGCCGACACTAGGCGACGAGACGACAACTTATTTTGGCAAGAGGAGAAGGCGAATGAAAACGATTGTGCCGAAGATGAGGACTGGTGGGTCACTGGCACCGATGAGACAGGAGACATTTGGGTTAATGAACAGACTGCAGTAGAGCCACAACTTGCTTTGAAGTCGGCTGATCTCAGGCATGATAGTTCTACATCAGCTTTTAAACCTAAATCCAACTCTCATCAACCATCATCACTGTTACCGGTCCTGAAGGATGTAGTGGCTCTTGAACCTAACCCTAACAAGTTAAGTCAGCGATCAACGTTGTCCTCACATCATACCACTTCACACCCTTCGACAAATCCAACGAAAGTAACAACCTTGGTCGAATCGGAGTCATTGAGGGTCGCTTTATCGTCTGATTGTGTAGAACCGGCTGACTGGGGCTGGGAACAGGCTTCGTATGGCGATGATATCAGATCGGCAACTAATACGAAACGCGGTAACCTAGCGACCAGCTCGGTTGGCTTGCGCCATTCTCCTGAAGCTAAAGCTTACTGCACTCCTAAATCAGTTGCCAATTCTACTTCATCTGACCGGGCCGGTAAATCCACGGCTGGACTGGATCTCTCTTGGAATGCAGACTCTTTCTTTTCTGATTTTCAGGCCAATCTGCCCAAGGAGAGATCTAAAGTTACTCCAAAGCACACACCCATTGATGGCACCATTCCCGCAACCGAGGCAAAACAGTTCAGTCAGGGCCCTGTTCCTGCCAAGCAGGTGACTTATTCTAGTGCTACTTCTAAGGAAAGCATTAACAAGCCAATGCAGTCTCGCAAATCGACACCACAAAAAGATAATGATGATTGGGGAAATTGGTAGATGTTCATTGAACTTATTTATTTGTCTATTCCTTAATTCCTCTGTAAACCTATCAATTTTTGGTAATTCCTATTGAAAGGCACTACCATGTATGTCCATTGTAAATTCCTCTCTTAGCCATGCTCTCTTTGCTGGCAGGCCTGCTTTATGCCTTAATATACACCATTATGTCTTTCCTGAATTGCACTCCTTTCAACATTTCTTATTTTCTGAGCACGCATGAACAAATTTAGGCTTCTAAGGTCCATATCCATGTGGATCTTAAAAGGATTGTCCATATCTTCTTTACTTACATTAATGTCTAAGATATTTGTTTGATATTTTGGTGAAATCAAACCCTTATAGCTTTTCTTGGATTGGCCCCTAATTTCTCGTCATATAATTGCTATCAATATTATTCATTTTCGCTATCTGCTTAATCCTTTTCATCTTCTTCCCGACCTTTGGACAATCCTTTATTTGATACTTCTCGTGAGCCAATAAATATTTGTCCATTTATACATCAACAACATATCAATATCAGCACACTTATTGAGTGCTTGCAGGTAGGGCCTGCGCCTGAATGAAATGCGTCGGAAAAAATGATCTCACAAAGCCGCACTCATTGAGAGTATCATCAAAGACTTTCAGCAAAACATCTCATAATTAAATGGAGTATGTTTATAGTTAAGACTAAATCGCGTGCCCCCAAGACTACGGGATCGCTTTCTTCTGGAACCCTAGGCGCCAGTAAGGAAGTCCCCACTTTCTGCCTTTTATGCGAGTCTGTCAGTAAATTCCCCTTAAAACTGGCCTTGCAGAGTGACGCCTAATGCATTCGAACTATACAAATACGACTTTAAACACTTATTTTTTTTATTCCGAAACGGTCTGAAACCCTCGATTTGTCCATAGTATTATGATGACTAGCCATTCATGTCATTGATTTATCTATTCTTAAAGGTCAGTTGTTTACGTGTTTGTGCTGAAAAAGGATGTAAAGCCTCAATATTTCAACTTATCCTTATATATATATATATATGGGACGGGCTAACAGAAATACAAATATACATAATTATATATTTGTCCATCCAATCCTCCAGCAAGTTTTATTAGCATATCCTTCGCACCACTTATCACCCGTTGCCTACCCTCAGACTTGTATTCTGTATGATTATCTGAAATGGAG